GCCACAATAACTGAAACGTGGCTCCATGGCACCCCAGGGGGCTGTCTCTAGTGCCCCGCTCTAGAACTCAGCCCCAGGCTGAGTGAAGACGTGGAAGGGGCACACGAGTCAGCTTGGTAGAAGGTCTTACGTTGAGAGAAATAGCAAACTCACAGAACGATAGAATCAGGATCCAAGATGGTCAGGAGGGATTTTTAAGAGAGACAAAGATAAAATCCCACACTTGGATTAGAATTACCCACTGTCCCAGGACAAACCAAGGCAGACATCGGGCCACAGCAGTACATATGGAAAGGAGATCTGAGTTGGCTGCAGGCTCAGAATGAGTCATGATGAGGCAACCAGAAAAGCCCATCAATGTCGGTTGCATTAACAGAAGCACAGTACCAAGACAAAGGAGGTGAGCTCTCCCCTGGGCTGAGCACACGAACAGGAGGACTGCGTTCAGTTCTGAATCATTCTTTACATGGGACAAGGGCAGTCCAGACCTGCTTGAAGAAGACTGATGGGAGTGGATAGAGTCTCTTGATGGAGACAAGTGAGGAAGGCTGGAAAGAAGCGAGGATGCGCAGTCCAAAAGGAGAAGCGGGGGAGGGGGAGAGCAGCCCAAGCACTGATTTCAAATTCAGAAAGCTCTGTCACATGGAAGGAGGTCTGGGGACCAGGGCCAGGAGGGAGGCACGGGCCTGCTTTGTTCACTGCTAAAGGCACAGTGACGGTAACCAGCGGGGGCTTCTGGGAAGTCCAAGAGCTGCCGAAACACTAGAACCACGTGAAAAGGAGACGAGGCCTCAGAAGGGAGTCAAACCCATGCGGATGGCCAAGGAGTCTGCTGTTCCAGTTGGGGGACACCGTGGAGAGGAAGACATACGGCAGGAAGGGCTGTCCTCAAGGCTCTCTGAGAGCCCTTCCCAGCCCTGAGATTCTTCCATTCTGTAATTTTGTGATTGGATGCGTAGAACCTGCTGAATGAGCCAGCCTGGCTTCTCAAACCTCTGCAGGCACATCAAAAACCTGGGGGATCTGATTGACGTGCACACCCTGAGCCAGTAGGTCTCGGGCAGGCCTGGGATTCCGCATTTCAAACAAGCTCCCAGCTAACACTGCTAGTGTGCAGGCCACGCTCTGAGCCTTCAGAGGCGAGATCTGGCCCAGGACAGCAGACCGGATGGGGCAGCCTGGCCAAGGCATTAGGCAACTGTCAAGGATTCAAGCAGAGGATGGATGAGCAGCATCCGAAATGCCCCACGAGGACCAGGACCCCCGCCTTGAATAGGGGAGCATCCGTATGCCACCAGGGGCTTTCTGATGCCAACATCCTTTGACTCTCTGAACACGGGCTTTAAAGTGTCCAAAAACTTTGCCACCATTCCCAGTTTTCCATAGCCTGTAGTGGGAGGCATTGTGGAGTCGTGCCAACCTGCCCTCATTCACTCCCTGGGGGGCCTCCGAGTCTCAGTTTCTCAGTGTGTAAAATGGGAATAATATCCAGCTGCAAGGTGTATCAAGCAGTGTCTGGCACATAACAGGTGCGCATTATGTGTTTCTGAGCCTCCTCAGAAAACTAGGTGATCCATAAACGTTCATCCTCTTCATTGCAAGATTCATTACCTAATTAATATTTGTCCTTGAATTGTCCTTCACTAACCCCAAATGTCAGATACGACCCCATTTTATAGATGAGGGCACAGTTTGTTCCCAACCTAGAGCCTCAGGCAAATACTAGCACAAGAATCCCTGACCCCTCCGGTTGGAATTTTAAGGACTGCTGTTTTTCTAGAAGGGTCCTTTCCCCTGGTCCAGGCACTGGAGTCAGTAACTAACAAGATTTCATACCATTTCTTTGTCTGAGAGGGAAGATGGTGTTTACCCCTGAGGGGCCCCCATCACCACCACGTGCGCAGTGCCCAACGCGCTCTACAACTTAGAGACCCGACCCGGAGGAACCGCCAGACTCGGGCAGAAAAGGGTGACGCCAAGAACCACCAACCAACGGCACACCTTAGCCACAGCTCCTGGGCACCAGCGGGGGGAGTGGGCACTGTGCTCTCGCCAGGCTTCACTGCTCTGTGCAGGGCAGAGATGGGGGGCGGCTCCAGAGAATGTGTTGGACCAGGGCCAGTCCTGCCCCCTAGCAGAGATGGCCAGTAAAATACCCACACAATTAGAGCAGTCACCCTGGCGCCTCAGTGTCTTTTAATGGAGGAAAACTTGGTCTATTCTCTCTGTAATGAGCAGCAAGCAAAGATCCCACATCTTGCTCTTCAGTCCTCGCCCAATGAGGGTGTGAAGCGGCTTCCACCAAACTGACAGAGGCCGCTAAATCTTAGCATCACCCACCACCAGCTTCCTCCATAAGGATCTGAAGCCCACCAACCAACCTCAATGACCCAAAAAGGCTGCAGCTGAACCAGCAGCTTGTGTAGCATGACCTTGGGTCTGAATTCAGACTCCACCTTGAGTAGGTCACTCCATCACTCTCTGAGCCCGTTTTCACATCTTTCGGGGAGAAGGAGTTGTAATATTTACTTCATTGGGCTCTTTGGGAAAAGCAAATGAGATGTAAATGTATGTTAAGCAACCAGCTCACAGAAGATGTTCAAAAGCTGTTAGTTCTTTTATTCCTTTGCCTGGAAACAAAACTGCTAAGGAGGGTGGTCTCCGGAGCACAGGAGTCCTGGAGAATTCCTGCTCCGTTCCAGATGTCCTTGGTCTCTCCTGGATTTTGAAGACCCTCCGCCTTTTGCCCGGAGGCTCCCAGCCCCTGCACACTTCCCCGCTGCCCCCTAACCTCCTCCTCTCCCCGCCCTCCCCTGCCATCCCCGCGCACCCCATCCCCAAAAACTTCGAGCCGGCTCTTCAGGAGGATCCTTCCAAACCGCGGCCTGGGCGTGGGGACCGCGCCCCTCCCGATCGCGTCCCGCCGGGCGTCCCCTGCAGACCCCGCGCCGGGCGCCCGGGAGCCCCGTCCGGCCGCGGGAACGCGGGGCCGGGCCGATGGGGGCCGCTCTGCGGGGCAGCCCTCCGCGCCCCTCGGGCTGCGGAGCTGCCGACCGCATTGCAGACGCGGGCCCTTCGGCCCTTCCCGCGCCGCCTTCCCCCCGCGGGCCCCGGGGCTGCCGGGGAGCGCTCCCCTCGCCCTGCGCGCCGGTCCGGAGCCAGGGTCCAGCGCGCTCCAGACGCCTCTGCCTTCCCCTCCCCCTGTCGGCCGCCCCTCAGGTCCCCCGGGGGTGGGGTTTCCCTTGCGCTCGCCCCCTCCCGCCCCCATCTCGCCGGTGCCCTCCCCTCCCCCGCCCGCCCCTATGTATGTGTCACCGCGCGCCATGCCCGCCCGCCCACCTACCTTCCCGCCGCTCCAGAGGGGGCTCGCAGAGCTGAGGACGCGCGCGGCGCTGCTCAAGGTCTCTCTCTCCGCACCCTCGCCGGCCGGCGTCTGACCCGGGGGCCAGGGGGCTCCGGGCACCTTTCACTGTCCCTTCACTCGGCCTGCCGGGACTCTGCAACCCAGACGCGGCCGCTGCGGCCACCGACCTAGGGGACCTGCGGACAGGACGCCGGCAGGAGGAGGGGTGCGCCGCGCCCGCGCAGAGCGTCTCCCCAGCTGCGCAGCGAGACCCGGGCCTCCCGGCCCCACGAGCCCCCGGCTGCCGCTCCAGGTGTATGGGACTGAAGTTCTTGGAGAACGGAGTCCAACTCTTCAAGGTAACTGTCGCCTTACCCCCCGGGGCACCAGGCGAGCCGGGAGCGGTGCTGTGGCCACCTCCCTCTGTGCCAGGGGCTGCGCTGCCTCGGTCTCCCCGCGGGGAGGTGTGTGCTGGGCGCCCCCGACATCCACCAGCTGCAGCCACAGTGGAGTTGAGCAAACTTTCTGGCTGCGGTGGAGTCAGAGTGAATGGGGCAAAGGAGCATGTGACGAAGGGTTCATGTCTCCCGGTGCCCCAGAATTAAGGAGTAGAGAACAAACGAGCCTTTGCTCCAAACTGCCGCCCGTTTTCAAGACCTAGGGTCTGGGAGGAGCCATAGTGGACAGAATAGCAGCTTTAGAGTCGCGGACATGTGGGTCCAAATCCTGCTGGGCTACTTCTGAGCTAGAGGAGTTGCTGGCCTTCCTGAGCCTCGGCCTGCCCTCTACCAGTCGGGAAGGAGGAGGCCTCCTTGGCCGAGTCACTGGGGAATAAATGAAATGACATGGGTAGGGTGTCAGGTACGCAGCAGGTGCCTAAGCAGAGGCTGGGAGAACCCATTGGTCCCCCTTCCTTGGCCACTTGGCCAACTCCAGGAGCCACAGGGATAAGCCGGGAGGAACTGGCAGAATCTGGGACAGGGCTACTGAGCAGCAAGGGCGACAACAGCAGCTCTCCGAACATGCCACCAAGTGGGCCATTTCTCAAGGAAGAGGAGGGGAGAGGAGGACACGTGGCCACGGGCAGTCGTCTCTGGCTTCTTCTGCAGATGAAGCGAATGATGGTGGAGCAGGAGCCCTTTCTGACCCTGGGGCTGGGTGGGTGGGTGTCCATGTCAAAGGAACCCACATTCTAGGCCAGAGCAAGCTGTGGGCGTGGGGGCCGTGTCCCGTTGGGAGACACGATCCAACCCAAACTTTTCCATCGTTCTCTTCTTTGCGGTGGCAAGCAGGGTTCTAATGGGACCGTTCTAGAGCTTCACCGCTATTTTGATTGATGAGTACATTCCACTTCTGTGGGGGTGACTGCCAGAAGGAAAAGGGGGAAGATGCAGAGCTGAATTGGGTTAGTGTGGTGTGGCAGGTCCTGGTGCTGCAGTGGCTGGGCATCTGACAGCTTGGGGGAACCCTGGACCCTGGAAACACACTCATGTCATCTCACGATGAGAGAAAGCAGACCCAGAAAGATGCAATGACTTTTCTAAAGGTCGTGCTGGACTAGAATCCAGGTTGTCTGAGGCCATAGTCAATCGCTAGTCCTGATTTAAAAGTTCGCAAGTCTGGGCTCTAATCCTTTTCCCTCTTGCTTGCCTTCTGGGTTGCAAAGAGAGGGGGCATTCAGATTATCTGTGCCCCTGGGCAAGGCGGTTCAGGAGGCTATCGATGGAGGAGTGTCGGCTTGTTAATCACTGAGCCGAAAGAGACTGCCCAGGAATGGAAGGCAATGAAAGAAAGAGCAAAAGACCCCTCCAATTTAAAAAGTTTGGGATGAAGGACTTATCAAAAGGAGGGAACTATCTCTCGGAGAAATGCTGGCGTTCCTCAGGTTACATTGAGTTGGATTTAATTTAGATGTATTTCTGTGCAGTTTCTAGCGCGAAACCTGATATGTTCATTCATTCTCCAGTATCTACTGAGCGCCACCTAGGTGACAGGCTCTGCGCTCAGTGCTGGCCTGTAGTGGGCCCTCAATAACTGTTTGATAGTATTATTAGCATTATTAATTTAATATTAAGTCGAAGTTTTTCTTTTCCTAGAATTTTCGATGAAAATCATACTTGCATCGGGATTCTCTCTTTATTATTTGAAAGCCCTCTGGTCAATATAAGAGGAAAGAATCCAGAAGGGAAAACAATGGCTGTATTATTACTTATTTGGGGGGAGTCTCTGTGTGCTTGAGCGGTGAGATCCCACGCTGTCTGGTGTGAGCCAGGCCTGACCCCACGCTCCTCCTCAGATGCACGCACACATTTTGCCCCCACTCACCCCCTCACACAGCCCCCTCCCAGGCAGCCTGCTCCCTGCCTGCTGGGATGGGGCATTCTCCAACCTCACATGCCCAGAATGGCCTGTCAGGCACCTCAGTCAGAGAGGGAGCTCCGAGGGAGCGCTCACCTCCTGAAATGGTAGGGAGAGCCGTCAGGGTAGGTAGCCCCCCACCCCCGGGCTGGGCAGACCTGAGTTCAAATCCCAGCTCAGCCACTGACCAGCTACATGACTGATGAGGTTACTCACTTCCCTGGGACTCAGTTTCCCGTTCTCTAAGAGGCGGAGGAAAACCTCCAGGAGCGGGTTTTTGTGAGGATTAAAAGACGTAATGTGGGTGCTTTGCCTGGTTCTCAGCAGGCACCACAAACCTTTATTCCTCTCCTCTCACAGTTTCTAGGCCCCCTCGGAGTCACAAACCGTAAGTTCAGCCCAGGACTAACAGAGTATTCTGTCTTAGTCAAAGACTGTCCCCACCTTTGGTGTGGATTCTCTTAACGACACCTTCCACAACCTGGTCCCTCCCACAGCCCTTCTTGTTGGGCACGAGGACGACCTCAGCGGGGCCAGGGGAAGCCCTCGGTCCCCGGTGTCACTTTCGGTCTGCTCCCGCGGGAACACCCAGCGCAGGATTTGTCCAACTGCAGGTCGTGAAACCGATTTAGTGGGGGTTTAAGGACATAGCAAAGAATAATCTCATAGAGCCTCCCATATAGTAAAGGTAAGTGTTGTTTCTGGAAACTTTTATTTCTGTTACATATTTTGCGGTCTTATAGAAGTATGTGTGTATGTGTTTATAATATAGATGTGTATACACAAATATACACGAACTTGATATTTGTATAATGTATTTCTTATTACGGGTTGTAGTGGAAAAAGTTTGGAAGACGCTGATCCCGAAGAGATTTCTGTCTCGGAGAAATCCCTGCCTCTTGGCTCCAGCTGGCAGGTGCTGGGGCGCCTTTTCTGCCCCTGTCTTAACATTTAGACTGGACCCCCAAGCGTCTTGGGAGCAGAGGCAGCGAGGAGTGGAGGCTGGGAGAGGGACTGAGAGGCAAGCTCGAGGAAGAGAACCCAAACTCAGAGGGAAGGCAAGGCAAGGAGGACAGGCCTGCTTGCAAGTGGAGCAGCGAGGGGACGGGGCCCAGGGGTGCCCTGGGAAAGGGGGTCTGTGGGTGGGAACACGTCTTGAAACAGTAGCTGTGCTCTCCTGCTGTCACCAGGCCAACCTCTTGGCCATGCTCTGAGCCATGCTGGGAGCTTCATTGCCACCCTCCTTCCTTAAGAAAGCCGTGTTTGATGGGTCGAAGTGAGAGCTGTCTCTGTGCATCTCGCCTGGGAGTGGCTGCTGTCCTTCCCCCAGACTCGACAGGACACCCCCATCCCAGGGAGACCGCAGAGAAGGACCCACTGGGGTGTAGGGCAAAGCTAGGGTTAGAGACGGGAGCGGGAGTGAGGCAAAGCGAGGACCAGAGAGAGGAGGAATTGGTAGGGAAAACAGTTAAAACGGTTCCTTTTTTCGAAAGTTGAATCCAGGGCAAGAACGGAAACGGTAGAGTTTACTTTTAAAAACTCAGAACCTCCTTGTAAGCGGCTGAGTATGTGTGTGGGGCGTATTGTGTGTGTGTGCGTGTGTGTGTGCTGGGAGGGCGGGCCCTGCGGGCTGGCCTGGGCGTGTGAGAGGATGTTTCTGGCTCTCAATGGCCTCACAGTGCGTCCTGAAGAAGCTGTTTGTTGCCCTCATGAATAGTGGATTTGGGAGTGTGATGCTCAGCACCGCGGTCTGCGCATTTGGTTACCGTTGAGGTTACGGGTTTTTCCTTTTAAGACACACCCCTCCTCCTGCAGAGGGGCCGGTGGGAGGGGGATGCTTGCCTGTCTCTCCGGAATTGATTTGATGTGAGGGGTGAGGGTAGGAGGGAGACTCAAGACGGGGCAGATCTGCCGCGTCCAGCCTGGCCCCCCCTGGCCCCCCTTGGCCCCTGGCCGGGGCCTCTGAGATGCACTTCCTTCATTGCCTGTGATGACCCTCATTTAAGGGATGGCGAAGAGGACGGGGGCCCGGAGAGGGGAAGATGCGTGCCCCAGGCCAGTCCAGAACAGGTCAGCAAGGATCTGGACCAGAACCTAGGCCTCCAGGCCCTCATCCTGAAACATTCCACATCCATGGAAACCATTCATTCATTCATTCATTCATTCATTCTTCTTTCAGCAGCCCTTGCTACATGCCAGGCACTGTACTAGGTGTGCATCACACAGCAGTGAACAGAACAGTTCACTCCTCCTGCGCTCCAGCCGCTCATGGTCGAACGGGGAGGACGGGCTCTCATCCACTTGGCCCTGACCCCTCATTTCTATAAAGTGGTGGTTCTCAGCCGGGGAGCTGTTTGGCCCCCCCAGGGAACATTTGGCCATGTCTGGGGATCTTTTTCGTTGTCACCATGGGAGAGGGGTGATACTAGTGGCATCTAGTGGGTAGAGACCACGGATGCTGCTAAACCTCTTACAGTGCACAGGGCAGCTCCTTCCCCCGACAATAGAGAATTATCCAGTCCGAAATGTCACTAGTGCCGAGATTGAGAAACCCTGCTCCAGACCTTCATTTAGTCACTGGGCCGGCCCAGGCCCAACTGTGGGCAACAGCAGGAAGGCTAGGGGTGGGCAGGCAAGAAGGGAGGGTTTGGCAGGCTGTGAAGAGCAGACAACGAATGGAAAAAAAAAAAAAAAAAGCCAGGCCCACAGTGATGAAATGGAAAGGACTTGAAACTTGGGCAGCCCAGATAGAGGGTGAAATCCCCGCTGTGCTCTTGGGCAGGTCACTTACCCTCTCTGAGCCTCAGTTTCTGCATCTGTGAAATGGGGCTTATGGGCCCGCTGAGAGAGCTCAGGATAAAGTAAATACAGGAGCTGGCACAAAATAGAGCTACAGTAACATCGCGGCTGGTATTATTATCTTTGAGGTTTTCCAAGGTCCTGCTATGGAAAATTACAGCATCAGCAGGTGTGGCCATGTGACCATGAGGCCAAAGAAGGTTGCTGTTTGGGGCACGGTTGCCACAGTGATGCCTTCTGCTTGAGGGGTGGGGTGCAGGTCAGCACCTCCCCACAGGCACAGCTCCCAGCAAGGGACAGAAGAGTCGAGAAGGGTTTGCTCCGGTGAGAGCCAGCTGTGTGCATCCTCCGGTGTATGCAGTCGGGAGGAGCACTGGACTTGGAGCCAAATGAACTGGGCACAGACTGGCTGTGTGACCTGGGGAAATTGCTTCACCTCTCTGAGCCTCAGGTTCCTTATCTGTAAAATGGAGATACTAAGGCCTGCCCTCACGGGTCCAGGAAGGTGCCTGGTGGGGGGCGCTTGTGAAGCCTAAGCAGGAATCTTTCTAGCTGGTGTGCACGGTACCTAATCCACTGCCGGGCACACACAAGACAGGCTGGTGGAATGAATGAATGAGTGAATGGACCATCGCATTATAAATTCCTTTCAATTCCTGACAAGGAGAGTACCAGCAACCCCCAGATGGGCTGTCTGCTTTGCCACTTGCCTGTCCGGAGCAAGCCCGAGGAAGCCAGGACTTAGTGTTCGGTGCGAGCCAGGCTCGGGTCACAGCACCAGACAACCGCGCCCTCTACAGGGCACTGGAGTCACAGCAGCTGAGCTGTGCCAGCCCCAGGCGGGATCCCGGGCCGAGGGGGAGGTGCCAGTGAGCCCAGAGAACAGGGAAGGCCAAGCTGCTGGAAGGAGCACCAAATCAGGATCAGGAGCCCAGAGACCAGCTCAGAGCAGGCGCATGGCTGAACCCCTCCATTGTCCTATCTGTGGAACAGGGCTGTTGCTCGGCCACACGGAGCTGAAGTTACAATAAATTAAGGCCAAACTGAAGTCAGCAGCCGAAGGGCTGGATTTGGGAAATCACCAAGCTTCCCTGAGCGTCGATTCTTTACAGTCATGAAGCATTAGATCAGAAAGGGACCTAGGAGACATCTAAATCCCCCACCGCCTTCATTATGCAGATGTGGAGACCGAGTCCCAGAGAGGCGAGGGCACCTGGACTGGGACACAGGCTGCTATTCCAGAGCCACGGCTTCGAGGGGCTGCTGACTCCCCACACACACCCCATGTCACGTCCAAACCGGTAGAAGAAGGTGCCAGATCACAGAAACACTGTGCCACCCCCTCCGAACCCGACTGTGGACAGATTTTGTCCTGGGGCCACCCGTTGTCCACCCTTGAGCCACCCTCTGGCTCGGTCCCTCCAGCGTCCTTGCTGGTTCCTTTGTAAGAGAAATGTCCAAGGCAAGGGGGAGCTCGGGCTCCCATCTCCCTCAGAACACCTGGGATTCCTTGTCCTGGCCACCACCCTGGGCCGTCCATAGGGGCATTTTCCTCAGTGAAGCCTGGACCTTGGCCTGACCTCCCCTGCTACTTCCCTCCCCCATTGGGGGCTCCCCTCCTCCCACCACCAAGCCCCTCACTTTGATCTGCTTATCCAGATGGCTCAGGGGAACACCTGGATTGGACGATGACTCAGAGATGTAGCAAGGACTCCAGCCTGTGGAGATGCTGACCTAGGCAGATCAGCCAGCTCTGATCCTGCAGCAGGAATGAGGCGGCTGCGTCAGGGCCGTGGGGGGGGGCAGCCCAGGAAAGAGGAGACCCCACCAGTTAGGGCTTCAAATCCTGTCTCAAATGCAGCCACTGCACGAGCCAGCCCTCACGGCAAGGCTGGGCCCAACCTCTCCTTTCCACCTCCTGCCTGCCCCCTTCCCTTGGAAGGTGAGCCTGCTGGGCGCTCATTTTAGTTCCGCTGTTTTCTGGATTTAAAAAAAAAAAAAAATGGGGAGAAAGGTGGAGCCCTCAGGGACTCAGGGTGGTTGACTAGGAGGCGAGGCCCCAGCTCCTCAGCTGAGTCTTGCCTCTGGACGTGGTCTCCATCCAGGCCTGGCTGCCCCCGACCCCCGACCCCGGTGTGGGCCGCGGGCCGGACCCTGTGCGCCCTACTTGCGGGGCCGCTCTGTGAATAGCGCCCCCACGTGGTGATCGCGCCCCTGCAGCTGAGCGGAGAAGCGCCGGCCCATCCACGGGCAGGTCTCTGTCCGCCCCAGTCCTCACCGCTCCATCCCGGGGCGCCAGCCCCACCCCAGCCCCACACAGCCCGGCCAGAGGCCTTCTTCAGCCCCTCCCCTGAGCCCTTAACTCCCCTTGGCGCACCAGCCTCATTCTGGGATTCCCACGCTTCCTAAAGCCAGCCCGTGGGGGCGTCTGCTGTCACTCGCTCTGTTAGTGTGTTCGCGGAGAGGGCGCGTGGTGCGGAGGCACCTGAGTGCTTAGATGGCTTCACCCCATTCCCCAGGACAGCGGTGCTCTGGAGGGCCGGCTTGGCGGCGGGAGTGGTTTTGTTAGTCCGCGAAGGTCCAGCGCTGGGTTAGAGCCTCCCAGTGCCCCGCCCCTGCTTGACCCTCCCATCTCGCTTCCCCGTGGGAGCTCCCTCTGCAGTCTCAGGGCCTCAGGGGCTCCAGGGCTCATGCACAGTGGGGTCCGCAAGGCGCTGGTGTACATCAGGTAAGGCTCCCGCGACGTTCAGCGGCTGGAAAATGGTGACTAGTCCCGCCCCTCCTTCGTCTCTGCGGGTGCTGTGTGGAGTGGCCCACCCTGAGACGAGCAGCAGTCGCCCGAGGTTATGCGCCTGTCCCTTCTCACCCCTTTCACACTTAGAATAAAGC